GAGTCAAGGATGCTTCTCATGGCCCTTGATCATAATTAGAGTATCAAATGAAAATGACACCCTAACTTTTTTACCCTGGGTGAAAACAACCAGAATCACCCACTCGGTTAAACAGGAAGAGAATCTGAGAAAGGCCTACAGGAATAGATATGTCCTGGCGCACAGGCTGAATTTTTTTCTGTATTTTTTTCTCAGTGATTTGATTTTATTTGACCATCACATTACAGTTACAGCCCAACTGTGTAAACCAGATCTTTAAAAAGGTCAAAAAGCCACAATAACACACAACAGTCGTGTCGTTTGGCACCATAATCCGCTACACAAGATGTGCAGTATTTTCTAAGAAAGACCACAATAACTGTGCAGTTGCACTAAAGTGGCTCAATTCTTTATCCCAAATTGTTGGGGAGACAGTCGCTGAGAGCAGCTTGTTTCATCGCAACATTTTTCTTTGTGCCTGAGGCTGATTAGAAAAAAAGAGCTTATCTGAACTCCACTTCCCCCTCTCAGGATGTCCCCTGCTGGACTCCACTACCTTTTGGAGGCTGCCAGATCCAGACGCTTTGAATCCCCCCAACACCCCCCACAGATGGTGCTTCAGGAGTCTCAATGTAGGACCAGCTGCATCTCGCTGGAACGGCTAGTGTGAGGCAGTAAGAGACAGCAAATACCTCTGACAAGATAATGTTCCTGGATATTGGCTGCTGCAGTGCTGTCATTCTGTAGTCACTGGACAGGACAGAACTGCAGTATCAATGTGATACAGTACATTTGCAGAATGAATCCTTTAAAAAACTAAACAGGGACAATGGAACAATGTCACACATGTCTATGGCACAGAATTAGAATAGTATAATCAGACTTTGAATTTAAAAAAAAAATGTATGTTGTGAAAAATAAACAGCAAAAGCAAGCCATAATATTACAGACTTAACTCCTGCAATGTGAAGGCGCAGTCCAATCTGAAGCTATACATTAATCTAAAATTAATTTAGCTTTGACAAGTCAAACAACAGTCCCTCGAGTCTAAAGTCAGTCATCTATGTCATTATCAATTAAAATCTTAATTTCCATCATAGAAAGACTCCATGGATTTATTATCAGCAGCATTTGCTGGTTAGTTTTTACTCTAAAGTGCTGCTGTTGGTTTAAAATCAACTTTAAACATCAGTACTGCTAAAAATGAGGAGAGGGTGCATTAACCCTCTCGACACATACAATAGAAATAATAAGATATTGTATGTAATTATTATACAAAGGAAAGTTAAGATGACAGCACAGTTATTCTGCATTTGTCCTTTTGGTTGCTACAAGTTTTTAAATTGTTCTTTAGAGCAGTACTTGAGCAAAAGTGCATTTCATCACTGCCCTTTGACCCCCTGGGCCTGTGTCTGGGAGGCCTGATTTATCTATGATTGACTCTACTGGGCAAAGTTATTGGAGTAACAGTTATTATGTTTAGTTATAGTAGGCTAATACTTATAATGTCTCTGCTGCAATCAATGTCTTAATCAAAATACATGGTATGGTATGGTATGTATAACTATAATCATGTTATTAAAGGCTTTGTAATTTTCTTTACTGGATGGCCTCACACTATCAGTCTGCTGTAAACAGACTTTTGTAAATTTGACTTGATAGCATCTTTCAAGCAAACGTGTAGTCCAAAGTGCTTCACAAAGCAAAACTGAAGCAACATAAATAAAAAATAAATCAATAAAACTCCATTTACAATTACAAAGATTACAAATTACAACTGCAAAACAATAAAATGTTAAAAAATCAATACATAAAAGTCAATAAATAAAATAAATGAAAAACCAAGGATAAAGAAAAACAAACCAAAGTAAAACAAAAAAAGCTTTTGCTGGTTAGAAATGTGTCTCCTGGACTAACTCACTGGAGGAACAGTGAAGTCAGATTTATATTTATGACTTATAACTGCTCTGCTGCAATCAGGATCTTGATCAAAATACATAAAAGGGTAATTATTATAATATATAAGAATATATATATCATGATCACATTAAAAGCATCCTAATTTTCTCAACTGTATGACCTCAAACTATCACTCTGCTGTATATAGACTTCTATAAATTCAACTCAACTTTATAGCATCCTTTTATACAAAAATGTAGTCCAGAGTTCTTCAGAAATAAAAACTGACACAACATAAAAAACCAACAATAAATACAATTTTGCAAACCTCAAAATTACAACATAACACTGAAATGTTTAGAAAAATCAATACATTAAAGTCAAAAGTAAAATTTAAAAAAAGGATAAAATAATGTTAAAAAATAAATAAATAAATAAATAAAACTGTTGCAGAAATGTGCCTCCTGGGTAGAGCTTCCTGATTTTCTATATTGTAGGATCTCAGACTATCAGTGTGCTGCAAACAGACTTTTGTAAATTCAACTCCAACTTAACTTCATGTTTTTGAAAGTGTTAAAAGTGCTTCAAAAGCAAAACTGAAACAACATGAAAAAAATAAAAACAAAAATAAACAACAATTAATAAAAATTTGCAAGACTAAAAATTACAACAAAACAAAATGTTAAAAAATCAATTTATATAACTCAATAAATAAAATTGAATTAAGCATAAAATAACGTGTAAAAAAAAAAAAACTGTTGCTGGTTAGAAATGTGCCTCCTGGGTACACGCACTAGAGTAACAGTTCAGTCACATTATATGACTTAAAACTCTTTGCTGCAGTCACTGTCTTAATCAAAATACATGTAATGGTATGTAATTAACTTCATAGCATCACATTTCATATACAAATGTAGTCCAAAGTTATTCACAAAGCAAAACTAAAATAACATAAGATAAATAAAAAATGATAACTTCAGTTTTGCATGACTTAAAATTACAACAATAAGTAGATAAGACTCAATAAAATAAAAATGAATAAACACAACAGATAAAAATCAATGTAGCCTTAAAAGATTTTTAAAACTGAAATATTTTTAGTTTAAGTCATGTTAGGAGCTTGATTATACAGTACAGGCCAAAAGTTTGGACACACCTTCTCATTCAATGCGTTTTCTTTATTTTCATGACTATTTACATTGTAGATTCTCACTGAAGGCATCAAAACTATGAATGAACACATGTGGAGTTATGTACTTAACAAAAAAAGGTGAAATAACTGAAAACATATTTTATATTCTAGTTTCTTCAAAATAGCCACCCTTTGCTCTGATTACTGCTTTGCACACTCTTGGCATTCTCTCGATGAGCTTCAAGAGGTAGTCACCAGAAATGGTTTCCACTTCACAGGTGTGCCTTATCAGGGTTAATTAGTGGAATTTCTTGCTTTATCAATGGGATTGGGACCATCAGTTGTGTTGTGCAGAAGTCAGGTTAATACACAGCCGACAGCCCTATTGGACAACTGTTAAAATTCATATTATGGCAAGAACCAATCAGCTAACTAAAGAAAAACGAGTGGCCATCATTACTTTAAGAAATGAAGGTCAGTCAGTCCGGAAAATTGCAAAAACTTTAAATGTGTCCCCAAGTGGAGTCGCAAAAACCATCAAGCGCTACAACGAAACTGGCACACATGAGGACCGACCCAGGAAAGGAAGACCAAGAGTCACCTCTGCTTCTGAGGATAAGTTCATCCGAGTCACCAGCCTCAGAAATCGCAAGTTAACAGCAGCTCAGATCAGAGACCAGATGAATGCCACACAGAGTTCTAGCAGCAGACCCATCTCTAGAACAACTGTTAAGAGGAGACTGCGCCAATCAGGCCTTCATGGTCAAATAGCTGCTAGGAAACCACTGCTAAGGAGAGGCAACAAGCAGAAGAGATTTGTTTGGGCCAAGAAACACAAGGAATGGACATTAGACCAGTGGAAATCTGTGCTTTGGTCTGATGAGTCCAAATTTGAGATCTTTGGTTCCAACCGCCGTGTCTTTGTGAGACGCAGAAAAGGTGAACGGATGGATTCCACATGCCTGGTTCCCACTGTGAAGCATGGAGGAGGAGGTGTGATGGTGTGGGGGTGTTTTGCTGGTGACACTGTTGGGGATTTATTCAAAATTGAAGGCACACTGAACCAGCATGGCTACCACAGCATCCTGCAGCGACATGCCATCCCATCCGGTTTGCGTTTAGTTGAACGATCATTTATTTTTCAACAGGACAATGACCCCAAACACACCTCCAGGCTGTGTAAGGGCTATTTGACCAAGAAGGAGAGTGATGGAGTGCTGCGGCAGATGACCTGGCCTCCACAGTCACCGGACCTGAACCCAATCAAGATGGTTTGGGGTGAGCTGGACCGCAGAGTGAAGGCAAAGGGGCCAACAAGTGCTAAACACCTCTGGGAACTCCTTCAAGACTGTTGGAAAACCATTTCAGGTGACTACCTCTTGAAGCTCATCGAGAGAATGCCAAGAGTGTGCAAAGCAGTAATCAGAGCAAAGGGTGGCTATTTTGAAGAAACTAGAATATAAAACATGTTTTCAGTTATTTCACCTTTTTTTGTTAAGTACATAACTCCACATGTGTTCATTCATAGTTTTGATGCCTTCAGTGAGAATCTACAATGTAAACAGTCATGAAAATAAAGAAAACACATTGAATGAGAAGGTGTGTCCAAACTTTTGGCCTGTACTGTACATATACATATATATAATTTATAAATATATACATTACAAGTGGTTGATCAGGTGAACAACAATATTTGAACGTTTTAGGGGGTGGACAGTATAAGAAAATATAAACCTAAAAGAATTTGAAACGCCAGGACTATAATTTAAAATGAAAAAGACCAAGACATGACTTCATATAAGTTAATAAGAGGATAATTGTTTCCATAATTTTTTAAAAACTAAACAATAATGAACCTGTTGTTGTTGGTCAGGGGGGAGACAGCGCGTGGGGCCTTTCATAATAAAACGTCTCATTCTTAAACTTCCACCTTTGAAAAAAAAAAAAAAACTGTTACATGGACTTCCTGTTTGTCTGGCAGAGGCGGGGCTACATTTGGTGCTCCAGAGTAACGGACCCGTCTGTAGTTTTCATTTTTCATGGATTAACAATGCAGGAAACAGCACTTTGCTCTGTCAGCTGACATTATGGATAAAACACAGAGAGTTGGAAAGCTGCTGTGACGCATCTTAAATTCCCCGGACAGGATTCAACACTGCTGTAAGTCATGTCCGTCGAGTGTTATCGCTGTTGTGGCCGTTTGTCACCAAATAGTACACAGTGTGCACTTATTGTTTTTACACTGATGCTAACCCTTTCAGTGCTGGGTATATACAAACTCTTATGTTTTCTTCTTATACGCTTTAACCCTTAAATATGGTGTTAAACTCATTTCATAAAGTCCCTGTACTCGGCTGCTATGATGTAAACTTTTTACAACCGACACTCACTACAATGTAACCCATGCAAATTGCTCGTCGTGCATTTTTAATGAATACTTCCGCTGTGCCTTGATAGTATCTGTGTGTTTATCTAACAGAGGCTCCCTGTGAAAGAGTTGCAGCCATGGTGCAGGAGTACCAGTCCCCAGTTCGGGTCTACAAGCATCCATTTGAGCTGATAATGGCGGTGAGTGGTGCCTTGATACAAGCTAATGAGAGTCTGCCACCTCTTGCGTAACTAAACTGGAGATTAAGGTGCAGCTATTACCATTGTAGCCACTGTGGCTGCTGTGACCCTTGAACTCTGTAGTCACACTCTTCTACTTTTACTCTTTGTAGAAAAGTTTATTTTTTTATTCTTTCTTTATTAGGATCTCTAGAAGCATCAGCATGAACACTAGCTATTCTTCCTGGGGTCCTCACATATATAGAATCATAACACAACAAATAAAACAGTTAATCTCATTGAATTAACATTCAAGTAGGGAGAGAAACAAATTTAGCATCCATTTAACAACCATTAAGACAAACACAAAATTATAAAACGATCACAATTCGTCAAGAAGTCATGGCACATAAGATTTTTCTTTTTCTCACATATAAATAGTAATTTTTAAATATCCAGTGTGTAAGATTTAGGGGGATTTAATTGCATCTAGCAGTGAGGACTGCAGATTGCAGCCCACTGAAACTTCTGTTTATTGTTCAGGAGTTTTTCCTGGGAGCTGAATTATCTCTCTCTCTCTCTCTCTCTCTCTCTCTCTCTCTCTCTTCCTCTCAAAAACAAACAGATGCGGTGAGTTGAAGCAGTAAAACCCCTGAATAAAGCAGTTTCATATTGCAAATCAGTGTTTCTCCTATGTCTTTTAGCTTGTTACAGTAAGACTACCCCAGCATCTGCTAATGCGTGCTCACCTTTTTTCTCTGATAACTTAGCATGCGGATGTTCAGGAGGTTTTTTTACCGTAAGCCGAATTATCTGCAGAGGTCTCTTCCTCTCTCTTTGCTTTCTGTGTCTTTGACATAAAATTATATGGAAATGAATAACTGTTTTTTTTTTTTTAACAGTCAAATTTTCATTTGTCATTGTAGGCCCAGAGTGAGCACTGCATTCTACAACTGTAAAAATGTGAGGCCAATACATTGAATTAAAAGATGTTTTAATGTTTCATCAACCATTATGAGCGTCATCGTCTACGACCTGGAGCCTTGTCCTCTAACTTTTACCGAACTTAAGTAGTGGTGGTTAGCCTGGAGTCTCTCTAGCAAGCCAAGCTATGGATTCCAAATCCAAAAAAGGAAAGTCTTTGAGGAAAATAGAGGATTTAATAATGTATGGAAAGATTATTTTGCATTCAGCACCAATGCTGCAAAGTTAAAGTGCTAAATAATTACAAATAGCCAACTGCAGAGAAGCCACTTTGTAGTAAATCATATGAATGAATGCTCATTTAGAACTATTAATAATGTTGATGGGCTAATTTAGACTTAATAGCCTGTTACCTTTATTCAAATATGTTTTGCAGTGTCAGACAGATGTTTTTTGTTTTTGGCCGATGATGGCTCTTTTCATAGTAAAGGTTGCCTACTCCTGGTCTATTCGAAACTTGGCAGTGCAGCATATCGATCTATGTGGATGGGAACTATTTTTTACTTTCAGGTGATGATACACTAAAGGCAACATACTTATTATGTTATATTCCATTTCTGCCAATATGTCCCCCTAAATTCTAAACACTGGACCTTTAAAAAACAAACATACTTGTCTGAATGACCTTAATTTATATTTTTATCCATCCTTTGCCCTCACACATTTAATTTCAATAAAATAGAGCAATTAAAATACATCTCTCATTCTCTGTGTCCGAAAGGAGATTTCTGCTTTCACTTAGGTTTGCACTTTATACACATTTACACACACACAATTCAATTATGGCTCCTGAAATGTCTGGAAATACTGTTAAAACAAATGTTTGAGCCAGTCCTTAATATCTCTTGAACAGTATGCACTGGCTTTGAATTCCACCTGACTGTGGCTCTGTATATTTTCTGCATTATACTTGTCATTGCTTTAGGTAGCATGAACCTTCTTTCTGCTGTATACAGTGTTTTTGTGTTGAGCAAACTGAGAGAATAACCTCTAACATAATATTGTAGGTGTTTGTGTCAGCGGTACCTTTCAGACTAAATTCAACAGACACTTTCAGACACCCTACAGAATGTCTGCAGCCTTGTCTGCCTGCCAGGGTCATTTGTCTCTTACCTGCAGTGAATGCTGTGGGTTTGAGTGAATAAACAGAATTCTGTATATGCTCTCTTCTACTGACGCTGTGGCAAATACAATAATATACAGGGTGCATACTGTGTAAAAGCTGCTTATTTAACTTTAGGTTACTTTCTCAGAGTCTCTGCATCTGTAGCTCTTTGAAACTCAGCTTGTGTAATGTTGTTGCTGTTATTCAGGGTTCCCACAGCTGTGAATTTCCTGGAAAAGGTATGGAATCAGAAAAACTGTTTTCCAGTTCTGGAAAGGGTTTGAAAATAACATGTTATGGAAAAGTTTTGAATATTCAGTGTTTTGGCTGTTATTCACACAAAATTTGTTTCTAATATTACTAATTTAAAATGTAGTGCCGCATAGCGTGACTGTTGAAATGTCACTAGTATCATGCGATACACATAATCCAGACCGGCATTGTGTCATTGCATTATTGCAGAGGCCGCGTCCCCTCTCAGCGCACTGATCCACTTAGATGGGGAAGACTGACAGGACATGACGGCATTTAACCTCAATTTATTGGGGTATCACAAATGTTCAGTTTCAGGCAATGACCATAGCTGTAGCTACCATGGCGTCACTCCTATTTTAAAGCCCAGAGTTTGGTATTACGGCCGCCACCATCTTGGATTGTTGGAGCCAGAAGGGACTGTATTTGGGCGAGAGGCCGGTGCTGTGGAGGACTGAGGGGTGGATCTGACTGAGATGCCAAGGACACTATCAGCAGACGACCTGTCACTCAAAGTGGCCCGCCCTTAATTATGCATAACTTTAAGCTTTAATAAAATGTAAATCTGTGAGTTAAATAAAATTTTACCCCTGTATAGCTGTCATGAATGGGAAATTAGCTGCAGAAACCAGGCTGCAAACATGTTTGTCTGCTGTAATGTTTGGCATTTTAACATTGGGGTCTATGGAGATTGACTGGCTTCCAGAGACAGCCTCAAGCAGCTGTTAAAAAATCTGCAGTTTTTGGCACTCATGTGTTGGCTTCATTTTTCAGCCCCAGAGGCTGCTACTTTAGATATGTCTCGAAAAAACAAATTTGTTTAACAAGAAATAAATACATAGAAACTAAAAATTATAATCCAAACACATAAAATTGCTTTGACGTTTATCTGTAAGATCTTTGGTTTTCTATTTTCCAAAAAGGGGCGCAGCCTAGTAATGTTAGCAAGCGCTAGCGGTTTCCTTATCCACAAACACCTGGTAATGCATGTGTAATACTGAATAGCTGTCTTGCTATCTATATAGGCCTACTCATTTTAAATTATTCAAAGAAAGTCATGGAAATAGGATAAAATCTTTATGGATTTTCTGGCCCATCTACGTCCCAGCCCTCACCTATGGTCATGAGCTCTGGGTAGTGACTGAAAGAATAAGATTGCGGACACAAGTGGTCGAAATGAGTTTCCTCCGTGGTGTGTCTGGGCTCAGCCTTAGAGATAGGGTAAGGAGCTCGGACATCCGGAGGGAGCTCGGAGTAGAGCCGCTGCTCCTTCGCATCGAAAGGGGTCAGTTGAGGTGGTTCGGACATCTGATCAGGATGCCTCTTGGGCGCCTCCCGTTAGAGGTGTTCCGGTCATGTCCCACTGGTAGGAGGCCCCAGGGCAGACCCAGAACACACTGGAGGGATTACATATCTCATCTGGCCTGGGAACGCCTTGTGGTCCCCCAGGAGGAGCTGGAAAGTGTTGCTGGGGAGAGGGATGTCTGGGGTGCTTTGCTTGGCCTGCTGCCCACTCGACCTGGCCCTGGATAAGCAGATGAAAATTTATGGATGGATGGATTATGGAAAAGTTTTGAAAATTCTTTGAACCCTGATTATTTGCTTCTTGTCACTACAATATGGTGCTTATGTGGGGGTGAGGATTCAAGGGAGTTACTTTGATTGCAACCATGTAAAGGGGAAAAAAAGCTATTAGTTATATAATATACCTCAAATTCCCAGGCTGAATTCCTCAGCACATATTTTTCTAGCTATTTTAATGTAACTGTCAAAATATTTGGATTTAAGTGCAGCAGTATTCAACAGTCATACCAAGCAAATCCACTGAAATAGCAACAGAGAGCACACTTTTGATTTTGATATATTGCTCACTTCACCTACAACCTTCAACTCAATGCTTTAAATTCCTGTAAGAACAGGAACACTCTGTGTGAAGCAAAACTATGACAAAGGTAAAAAATAAGTTTGCATTTCCTTGAGTGTGTTTTCACCAACTTCCACGGTCTGCTCCTGCTGTTGTTTCCTGCTCTCTGCAGTTATATATTAAGCCAAAGACTTATGCAACATCCTCAGAGCGGGGTAAAAAACCGTGACCATCACCTGCAGTGACACTTTGCTCTGCAGACTGTAACTCAGGAGTCCCAAGTTGACACCCACACAAGCTTTATTTCCCATGAAACATCTCTCAGAGAAAATCACAGGTCTAAAATTCATCTCGCATCACTGCACTTTATTGAAAAGCATCTCAAAATAGCCCTTTTGTGAAAAGTAAATAACAGCTCCTGTGAAAAGATCCAGCCTAGAGGAGAGAATCCAGTGAATAGTCTGCCACCTCCAGCTTCCATTTATCTCTGGACTTTATCATTAGCCCACCTGGCTGATATTACTCCTGCTAACAATCAGCGTCCTGTATAGTGCTGCATGTTTAACCGGTGACATTATTGTTGTCTCTTCCATGCCACGTCTTTATGACTTACCTTGGATCATATGTATGTAATAGATATGTGTGCATGGTTGACAGACACCCATTTTCTTTTCATCAATATTCCCCAAGTAAACCAAGTATTATGTTGCTCCGCAGTCATTAGACTGTTATTGGTTTGCTCATGTGAAATATGATGGTGGATTAAAAGTTCTACTTTGCTGCTCTTTCATATTGTGTGCACTCAGTATGCTTTTAGCTCTGACGGGAATATGGAGCACAAATATTTACGTTTCTATGCAATCAATGAAACATATGATTGTTAAATAACAGTAGTCAATGCTGCTTATTTGCCAAGGCAACCTTTCCCAGTTTTAGTTCGCTGAGCGGACAATGTTATCCTGTTGATTAGATATCTCATATGCTGTGCAGTATCGGTGCAAGCAGGATGCGTGTGTGTTGTTGAAAGACTAGCCTCAGCCGATTTTCAACCAGCATAACAATGTGGATAGAGTGTGTAAATGAACTATGGTGAACTTCTCTCCATTTTACCAGTGCCCAGATCTTCCCTGCTCATCTTTCAGCTCAAATTAAATTTCACTGGCTCAAGGGCTGTTGGTTGAAGGACAGTTTGTACTTCCACATTTTCGTATGGAGTGTAGAAGCGGATTGAGAAAGAGAGCCTCCCCTCTCTCTCAAATGCAGACCAAACTCTGATCAAACATTAAAACTAGGTAAATATAAACCAAGATTCTGTTACGGTATTGACTATTTCTCACCTAAAATGTTTTTAGAAACATATTTAGGTTAGTGTTTAATTTGCTACCAGCTGGCTGCCATATTGTTTCCTGTTTCAAAATGGACCGGTGTGGTGCAGTGTGGGTTTTCTACGTCTTGAGCGAAGCGAATGCCACAGCCCTTTTCCTCTGTTTTCTTCGGTCGTACGGCACAAATTTTTTAGGTATTCGAACCTCACTGTGGGAGACCCTCCATGGCGAGGTTGAATGTTCTCCCTGTGCATGGGTTTTCTCAGGGTGCTCCAGCTTCCTCCCACAGTCCAAAGACATGCAGGTTAATTGGTGACTCTAAATTGTGCGTAGGTGTGAATGTGTGTGTGAATGGTTGTCTGTTTCTATGTGTCAGCCCTGTGATAGTCTGGCGACCTGTCCAGGGTGTACCCCGCTTCTCACCCAATGTCAGCTGGGATAGGCTCNCCCACCCGCGACTAATAAATATGAATCACATATTGAATTAATCTGAAAAGTAACAAGTAACATTAGCTGTGGAGTAAATGTAGTCCAGTAAAAATTACAAAATTTCCCTCTGGGATGTAGTGGAGTAGAAGTATAAAGTAGCATAAAATAGAAATACTCAAGTACAAGTACCGTTAAATTGTACTAAAGTGCAGGCTTGAGTAAATCTAACTCTTCAAACTTGGGCTAAATTACCAGTTCAGGTTGTCAGTGGTTGCCACATCTAAGGGCTCAGGGTACATCAAGTGTAGCAGCAATAGTTTACTCCCCCATGGCAGTTACTCTAAACATTAAACAGGCAGCTGTCTAAACTGTGATGGTAGAGTTCTACCCTTTCCCAATCAAATTTTAACAGCAGCACTGCTGCAAGGTACATAGACTGTTTTTGCACATCCTGAAACAGCCGCTTAGCGACTCAATCAGTATTGACAGGTGAGCCCCGGTGACATTGGCTGGGACAGATGGTCATGCAGTGTGTTGCGGGCAGTAAAACACAAACTGCTGCTTGTAAAAGGTTCCACAGCAGCAGCATGTATTTATATAAACAGTTAAAACCACTAAACGCGTCCTCACCAGACACAGAAAATATGTGCTGTACATCACATGCTGTACTCTTGAGTCAGCAGCAGTATAGTTCACTCTTTTGGCAAATACAAGTGACCTTCTTGTAATGGGTTCATTCAAAACAGCTTTCCTGCCCAATCAGAGAGCAAGCTCACAGTGGGCAGGACAAAAGAAAAAAGCTCAAGTGGGAACAGAATGTACAGAGCCAGGCACACCAGTGCTGTTCACAATAAAAGCACAACAAAAAAACATCACAACAAGAGAACCTATGAATTCTCCCATAAATTTCTCTGACATGTGATTTCTTTCCCTCCCTCAGGCCTATGTGAGGAGGTTCCCAAAGTCCCACCTGATCCCAGTGTTTGTAGGCAGTGAGATCATCAGCGAGAGCCAAAGCAAGGATGGATCCACAGTGGTAACTGAGAGGCGCTGTATGATCGACATCGAGGCCCCACGGCTTCTTAAAAGGGTACCTCTCCTTTACCTTTTGCAGAACATGAAAGGCGATGAAACAGTCATAATAGGTTCATTCAGTTCAGTTTTATTTCTAAAACCCAACATCACACATCACAGTTTGCCTCAGAGGGCTTTACAACATACAACATCCCTGTGTTCTTGGACTCTGACAGCGGTTAAGCTGCTGTAATCAGGTCATTCGTTTTGAAGAGCAAAAATAGGAATGCTTGAGCGGGGCAATGCTGCATTTGAAAGGATTGTGTAAACCATCTGTTTTTTGTCTCTGTCTGTAGATTGCTGGTGTAGACTACCTGTACTTCATCCAAAAGAACTCTCTAAATCGCAGAGAAAGGACGCTGCACATTGAGGTCCACAACGAGACCTTCTCCAACAGGGTCATTGTCCGTGAGTGCTGCAACTACTCGGTGAGTTTTATTTCTTTGTTGTTGTATATATGTAACATTTTTACAATACCAAGTGCAAAGAATAAGTCACAAACAAGATCCCCACTGCTGCACATGCAGGAAAAAGCTGGCTTTTCTATCCAGTGCATCAAATATTAATCTAAATGATCCTTTTTGACTGAGCCAAATGCGCCAAACACTTGTGTCAACAGGTGGAGTCTTAAAGTCAATGTGACGTGACTCACTTCAATAATACCCACCCTGTTGACACGACTCCTTTTTTTTCACAACATTACCCCTGCCAGCAATATCGTCTCTGCTGCATGTGCTTACTTCACCTTTGGTTCATTATTGTATATTATATTGCAGCTTTTTTCACTTTATTGTGACATACTGAGTTGAAGTTTCCATGTTCATCACACATTTTTCTCCTCCTCCACAGGTTCATCCAGAGAATGAGGACTGGACGTGCTTTGAACAGACAGCTAGTCTGGATATTAAGTCCTTTTTTGGCTTTGAGAGCACAGCAGAGAAGATAGCTATGAAGCAGTATGCTAGCAGCATTAAAAAGGTTTGCATCTTTAATTAAATTGACTCCAACTTGTGGAAATCTATCTGAAATTGTGGAAAGTTTTATTTGCATTTGCCAGTTGTGTTTATAACATAATAACGGTAATCTTTATTTCCAGAGCACTTTTCAAAACAGCTTTACAAAGTGCCTCACAAGGCAGCAAAGTAAAACAGGTTTTGAAAGTAAACAAATTTTTAATAAAAAGGTATATACAAACTGAGGAATTATAGACAGTTTAAAGGAAATTACAACTCAAGTAAAACCACAAAAGTATGTTGAAAGAAGGGACTAGCAAAGAGCTCACTGTCTCATCCAAACTGATTTCCTTAGGCAGACTGTTTCAAAGCCACAGGTCTCTCTGTCCGGGCCTGTGCAACAAACAAAAGACCTCTGGGTACTGGTACATTTGTTACTAAGAGGTCAGAGATATATCAGGGAGAAAGGCCACAAAGAGCTTCACAAGTAATCAGTAAAATCTGAAAATCTATTCTGAAACATACTGGGAGCCAGTGTAGAGAGGCTAAAACTGGAGTGATGTGATCAGGTCTCTTTGTTCTGGTTAAAAGCCTGCCAGCTGAGCTCTGTATCAGTCGAGCTTTGGTTCAGGCAAGAAAAGAGGCTGTTGCAGTAATCCAGGCGTGATGAGATGACGGCCTGTAAAATGGTCTCCAGGTCTTTATAAGTTAGCTCGTATTTTTGAAATATCTAGGATGATAAAAACATGATTGCACCAGCTTTGTGAGGTACTGCTCAAAACTTAAATTACTGTCAAACCAGACACCAAGATTTCTTACAACAAACTTAATATGATCCAATAGGGGACCAGCCAAAGGCAGATTTGTTTTGTCATGTGCTGGGTAGTACAGCTTTTGACATCAGTAAGGCAGTCATTAAGTAAACTCATCACTCCAGGGTCTGTGGATATGATGGGCAGGTGCATCTGCATATCATCTCCATAAAAATGAAAAGAGACACAATGTCTTATGAATAATGTGCCCAAAGGGAAGCATTTATAAAGAAAATAATATTGATCCCAAACTGACCTGAGGCAGCCATACTTGACAAAAGAAAGCAAAGAGAAATGGTTGACACAGAACCTTCGATTCGACAGATAAGATGGAAACTACTCCACTTGTGTTCTGTGATCTGTTGAGTCGGTCTGTTCCTGCTTTACATGTAATTACCTGAAGACTTGTCTCCTTCCGATATTGCAGGGTAAAGAAATTATCGAGTACTACCTCAACGAGCTGGAGAAAGAAGGAGTAACTTACATACCTCGCTGGACCCCTCCTGTTGCCTCTGGCACGACCAGGCTCCAGCTGCCGCCCCGCTCCACTGCCAGAGCCATCCCAGGGAGCAGTGCTAAGAATGGACTGGACAGTAAAGACCCGGCGTGTTCTGCGGAGCTCGTGGCTGGCTCCCCCGACGGTCAGTGTTTGCTCGTTAGTCATAATTAAATATGGAGTAGCAGCCAGCACACAACACAAAGGCACAGTGGTAAAGTTAAAAGGTGTGGGTCGGTCATACTGTTATGGTGACTTGTGTAAATTAATTCACCCAAAGGACTGAGGGTGAACTAACTTATGTCTGTGAGTAATAACAGGAAATAATTATTGATTCAAAAGCTTAAGATATTACTGTCCCCATGAATTGAAAGAACTATTGCTGAGCTTTTGATCCCACACAGCTGACCCTTGCTTTGGCACTAACTCTGAGAACAATAGTGGCAAATCTTGAAACAAAAAACAACAGCAGTAAATTATTTTATTATTTTCCCTTATGTTGAAAACACACCATGCTGTACAGCTCCTCATCTCTCAGATCTGTGCATGCAATCTGTGCTGACTTTACATTGTACATGTGTTTTGGCCTGCAGACAAATTGGATGCTGACTACATTAGGCGTTACCTTGGTGATTTAACGCCTCTGCAGGAGAGCTGTCTTATCCGTCTGCGCCAGTGGCTCCAGGAAACCCACAAGGGCAAGGTCGCGTAAACATAAACACACTTTGGCTGACTACAGAGCACTTTGTGCAATTATGTAAAACACACACTTATTCACTCATTCAATCTAGACTTCTGCTCAGCTCCTCCACACTTGTAGGTACTGTACTGTAGATTATAAGAAAATCAAGCAGTCATAGCCTTAAAGGTTAAGTCATTGCATTTATTAGTAACTTTAAAGGATCTGTATGCAACATTCAGAGCGTTAATATGGCAGCAAGCCGCACCTTGCTTTGTAAAGATACAGTGGAGTAATCCTGAGCAAAGAATGAAGTCACGCTACCTCTGTGTGTTGTAATTTGAGCTTCTCTGTGGTTTGTTGTGGTAAGCCTGTCTGGCTGCAGGTGCCTGTTAGTGCATGTGTGTATCCCACTTGCTAGCTCACCATTGCCAGCTTTGCTTTGCACTCATACAACGGTTACGGCTGATATTGGGACGGCAGTGTAGCAGAAGCATAGCGCCCACCCTCAGGTTCCCCCCTGTAAACACTGTTAGCTTCACCAGCACTGCTAGCTGCCGTTTCTGCCACCTCTATGTAGGGAACTGTGTCCAGACGACTTATACACTCCAAATTTTGCATAGAGCCCCTTTATTAGAAGCAAACCACTATTTGCTATGTAAAGATATAGTGGAGTAATGGCGTCCTGAGCCAAGAATGAAGTCGCGCTACCTCTGTGTGTTATAATCCGAGCTTCTCTTTTCTTTGTTGTGGAAGATAGTCTGTTTGCACGTGCATGGTAGTCGTTGTGGGTGTGTCCCACTGTTGAGCTTATCACCGCTGCTCTGCACTGCACTCATACAGTCATTTCTGCTGATAACGCCATCCCATTTCACCCTCTCACTCCTCCCCACATTAACACCATTAGCTCTATCAGCACTGTTGCTGCTGCTAGCACTGTTTGTGCTGCTAGCCCCGTTAGCTGCTCACCATTAGCCACCTCCATGTTGAGAGCCATGTGCATGCAATCCCAGTTCAGACTCAGAATCATACATGTGCTCTGAATGTCTCATACAGCTTCTTTGACTCAGAGCTTTGCACCCGAGTTTTGACCCCTGCTTGTTGCTGTACAGATTCCAAAGGACCAGCATGTGCTGCGCTTCCTGAGGGCACGGGATTTCAACCTGGACAAGGCCAGAGAGTTCTTGTGCCAGTCGCTCACCTGGAGGAAGCAGCATCAGGTAGACTTCCTGTTAGACACGTGGGAACGGCCACAACTGCTTCAGGACTATTACACCGGAGGCTGGCACCACCACGACAGAGGTACTGTGTGATTAATACTGGCAACCTGCCAGCTTTATCTTAACTTCATCTCATTTTCACGTTATTTGACTGCTTGCTGTTGTTGTGCTATGGTTTGTACGCAGTGAAAGTGAACACTTATCAGTTGATGTGATGATAAAGAGCCAGAGGGATGAAGTCTCCTGTATTTATAAAGTCCTTATGGGTTGAAATGACCTGTTAATTATTGACTGTAAAGTGTGAGCACCATCTGCCATGGCTCCTGTGTTTGAAAATGAGTCATTGCTTTTAACAGCTCAGCTGACCCTCCAGGTTAGAGGCACGACGTGAACAGAGGAAGTGTACTTGTGCTGCTCACATGCTAAATTAATACCTGTTGGAGTGGAAAATTTATGCTTCACATAGGTAATGGGGGTCTGAAGAGTGGTTAATGTCATTACTATGACAGGATCTGACTCATTCTGCTGATTGATTTCCCTTTCTCGAACAATCAGTGAGTTTCTGTGCATGTGTGTGGTTTAGGTGGCCGCCCTCTGTATATCTTGCGTCTTGGGCAAATGGACACAAAGGGTTTGGTGAGAGCCTTGGGAGAGGAGGTGCTACTGAGACAGGTGACATGCATATATTCAAGCCTTTACATACACACAAAGATAATATTGTAAGATGTCTTCAGTTATATTAATACCACAACTTCTATGTGACCCAGGTCCTGTCCATTAACGAAGAGGGACTGAGGCGGTGTGAAGAAAACACCAGAGTCTTCGGCAGACCCATCAGGTGCCTAAATATGACTCCATCTATCTTCTATCACTGTCTCACTGGTTAAAGAGTAACTTCAGTATTTTCCATCGTGGACCCTTTTTTCCATGTAGTTGTTCATGTTTCTGTCCAAGTGACTAATGGGAACAACAATTTTTGAAATTGTTCCAGTATAGCCAGAGAAGGCTGCAGCTGCCAGTCTGTGTAAGTCCACTAAAAGTGCTTGTTTTTACCACTGGTTGTTATTCTAAGTGTCTGAAAGCATTATGGAAAGGATCTTTTCTGTTTACCAGAAAGTGCCCTGAAAACGCTACTGCCAAACCCACCAGACTCCTTTGAAGTAAACAGTAATTTTAGTGTGTATAGAGCCAGTATAATTTGACATCTGACTGGCTGAATTAAGGGTTTATTTCAACCAAATCAGAGTTGGTGATTGTTGGAACCATGAAAGACAAACAAGACAGCGTCTGTGAGTTTTATTTTGTTCCTGTTGACCTTGAATGAAGTGTTTCAATGCAAAAATTACTGCTTATTTAAATAGAGCCTGGTGAATTTGGCAATAGCGATTTCAAGGCTTTTTCTGGTTGAACAAAAAAGATCATACTCTTAAATAAAAAGGTCTATCTCTACAGGGATCCTTTCTATGATGTTTCCAGACACTTACAATAACAATCTGAGCCTGTCAATGGCAAAAACAAACACTTATAGTGGACGTAAATTGACTGTGTGTAATTGCCCCAAGTGGTTACATTGCAGCCTGTTTCACTCACTACATACTGGACCAGTTTAAAAAATGGTTGCTCCATGTTGGAGCCATGTCTAGCAAGTCCTAGTTTCCTATTAGTTTTTGAGTCACCGTAATGCACCACCTGACCTGGCACCTAAAGAAACGTTCGTTAAAGTCAGGGGTGCTGAAGTGAGTGTGGAGCGTGGAAGACCTTTAACCGCTGCCTGTTTGGTTAGTCTTAGTTTTCTTTGTATGATGATGTCATTTAATATCCCATTGATTTAAACTTTGTTTTGTAAAGGCCTGTTTATTTGGGGAATGTTTGTTTCAATACTCCCATTAGTCACCTAGACACAGTAACATGGGAAAATAGGGTTCCAACTGAAAAATACTTAAGTTACCCTTAAACATTTAATCAGGTATACAAATGCTTGTATATTTAGTTGTTTAATGTTTATGTTAATGTGTCTGTCAGCTGCTGGACGTGCCTGGTGGAACTGGAGGGTCTTAACATGCGTCACCTGTGGAGACCAGGTGTGAAGGCTCTGCTGAGGATCATCGAGGTGGTGGAGGCCAACTACCCCGAGACTCTGGGTCGCCTGCTCATTCTGAGGGCGCCCAGAGTTTTCCCAGTGCTCTGGACCCTGGTGAGTACATTGTGTGTGCAACTGTTAATGTGGTTTTATTTCATCATCTTATTGTGGAGGAACGGATGAAGTCGTTCAGTACAGACGCAGAGATTGCATCTTGCTTTGCCGCTGATGGGAATTCTTAATAGCAGAGTGCAACATTGTGAATATGAGCAAGTGATAAACAAAGAAGAAATGGAGAGGAGGGTTAGGGTTAGGAGATAATTAAAACCATGCAATATGCTAATCCTCAGGGGGAATTCGATCATTGCTGCAGTAAAGCAATAAGCAGTGGTATATTTGGAAGTAAAGAAATAAAGATAATAATGTACAAATATGTGAAAATAAATCAAAAGTGTAATAAAAGTAATAAAAGCTGCATATATTTGAGGCATTACATAAGCAGATTGAATGTATGGGCTGTGATTGTTGCTGCCTGGAGATGCGAAAGATATCATTATGTATCCACAAATTGCGAAAGGAAATTATATTTAAAGCTTTTATGATGATAAAATCAATATCAAGTACAAATACATAATGAATAAGTTGTGAACCTGCTCTCATGTTCTCTGTTGTTTCCAGGTCAGCCCTCTGATCGATGAGAATACCCGCAAGAAGTTCCTTGTGTACGCTGGTAACGACTACCAGGATCCGGGAGGACTGGTGGACTATATCGACAAAGAAATTATCCCTGACTTCTTGGGAGGGGACTGCATGGTGAGGCTTAGTTTGCAGCATGCCACACTCAACATATTGATTCATATAATAATAATAATGTGCACCAGGCCTTTTGCTCCTGATTTGACATTTCGGCTGTGATTTCTTTTGTGTGCAGCAGTTATTTAGCTACATTATGCAAGAATTAGTATTTTTGGTGGCCCTACAGTTACAGAGTGATACACCTCTGTCGTAAATACAGGATTGCAAACTGTTTATTCTGTCCTGATGTAAGCTGAAGTGATCTGTCTCATGGTTAACGGGAAAACAATGACAGTCTGACAGCAGCGTGTGCATCCCTGCCAATTTTATTTATGAAAGACTGTGACATAGTCTGTGACCTTATCTACCGGTATGTCATCCCTGTCTCATGGACAGCTGTACACGTGCATGTGTTGACAAGCTGAAGGTTACTGAACCAGCAAATGTGACGTCAGAAGCCGAACAGCTGCAGTAATGTTACAGGATTTTCCACAAAAGAGTGTTATTTATTTGGGCATGATCGGAGACAGACACTAACCAAAGAGAATACCCATTAAACTGAATGAATGAATGAATGAACTTTATTTATATAGCACCTTTCATGCACAGAATGCAGCACAAAGAGCTTTTTAATTCAGCAGCAGAGACAAGCACCATTTTGACAGAATGTTTTAAGTATTTCTAATATTTTCAGCTCATACACATCATTTGCTAAGTGTCTGAATTTGACTTTTGGCATCCTGAATAACTGCACCACTCTGTGAGCTGGGGATGACACTGATGAGGTTACAGCCTGCATCGTACACAGATTGTCAGATTGTCTTTGTTTTTACCGCTAGCTGTGAGAGAGATCACTGCAGCTTATGTCACAGCAGTGTTAACTGTTTGCAACCTTGCATTAGTTTGTTTACTTTTGTCTGACCTCTTGCTCAGCCACTTCTCTTATTTGCTTCCTCTAGCAAGACTTCGACTTTGTCTCCTTGTACTGAGAATGCTGAGCTAGCTTCTATCCTAAATCTTAATTTCAAACCATCAACATACATATCAGCAAAAGAGCACATTACAATCAGGCACATACAGATAAAGCAGTGAGAAAACGAAACAAAAAGCAGCGCTTAAAGGCGAGCTAGCTTCCTCTTATAGTGCGACATAGTCCCGTAAAGTGCTACGATCTGATCCTACCTGCTCATCAAAGCGATGTAGTGCAAGAACAGGCATTTAGAGCATGGGGAGGAAATGAAAGAGGCGACATTCTCCCTGTTACAAGTAAGTGTATCATCAAAAACAGTGGTTCCTAACATGTCCAGACACGGGGTCAAGATTTCTCCTTAGTCCTGAGTTTAAGGTCCACACAGTACTTGAGTTTGGCCATGTTGACAAGCTAGTTTACTGTCTCTGTCACTCTCAGGAACTTTGTGCCAGAAAATCACTATACGTAAAAGTGTGTTTTTTACAACCTTGACATGTTTGCGAGTCATTTGCAGTCCATTGAAAATGGACCATGACCCACCAGTTGGGAACCACTGATCTAAATTATTCTGAAGCTGTTATTTTAAGGTATGAAAAAGTTGCATCATGTTGCTTTAATAAGGATTCCCACACATTTTCATAGACAAAATTCCAAAACTTTTCCATGACTTTTCAAGACCCTAAAATTAAATTTCCATCATTGTTCATAATATTTAACACAAACATTGCTCCATCTAAAAAAAGCAGTACATTTTTTAAAAGTAGAAGTGCGGTGTAGGTATGAAAGTGTGGGATTCAGGACTTTACATGTTAAATCACACTGTCATAACATTATTTTCCGCTTATTCAAACATATCAGATTCAAACTCTATTCAAATGAAACTACAGATAGCTGGCGTGCATGGATAGAGATACGCTATATGGGGAGAAAATGAAAAAAATGTTCATAATGGTAAACTAAATGTATCAACATGGAGCCACATTATCTCATCAGCTACAGAAATTAAATTTGCTGTTTCATTACATAACATGGAAGGTTATCCACAGAAGTTTACTGTATCAAAATTTCATGATTTTTCCAAAATATTTTAAGGATTTAATGAATTTCCCAGGCCAGGAAAACAAGATTGTCAAATTCCATGAGTTTCCAGGTTTCCATGATCGTGGGAACCTTCTTTAATGTGAGTTATATTTTGTTGGCATTGTTTGAATTTGGTGTCTTTTTTTATTTCTTTTGTCCACTCCAGTGTGACATCCCAGAGGGAGGTGTGGTCCCCAAATCTCTGTACAGGACGGCAGAAGAGCTGGAGAGCGAGGAACACCGACTGCTGACTGACTCCATCTATAAGAGTGCCAGTATTTTCAAGGGAGCACCATATGAGGTACAGTATCCGCTTTTAACCTGGCACTCTAGGTCCACGTGTGTCAAAGAGAAGAGCGAGGCTACCTTTATTGTGCATAACGGTGAGAGGAAGGGTGTACAGGTTATATTCTGTGGATTAGGGTGCCTCCTGCTGGCAGAAGTCTATATTGCAGGCTCAGAAAAAGAGCGCTACAGTGTGTGATTAATGGCCTGCTGTCTGCCTTTCTGTGTTTCCGATCTTCTAACATCCTCCTGCAGATGCTCATCGAGATCACAGAAGCGTCCTCCGTCATCACCTGGGACTTTGACGTGTCTAAAGGAGATGTCATCTTCAAAATCTACCATTCCAAGAGGGCCCCACAGCCCCAGAAGAAAGAAACTCTTGGAGCCCATGCAATCACGTCTCTAGGGGCTGTTAACACCCAGCTGATTGACAGGAGCTGGGTGCTGGGGAAGGACTACAGCATGGTGGAGAAAGCTCTCACCTGCAGGGAGGGAGAGAGCGTACAGGTCAGAGAGATTCTTCTCCGTCCATCTACAGTTTTAACTTGCCTTTATCCCTTTGTGCTATCTGTTGCATCAAAGCAAATTAAATTCTCCATCCCAGTCTCAAATTGATCCGGCAGCTTTCCTCTGCTCAAACAGGGCTCCCACGTTACACGCTGGCCAGGCTTCTACATCCTCCAGTGGCGCTTCCACAGCTCCCCAGCCTGCTCCGCCTCCAGCCTGCCGCGTGTGGACGATGTGCTGGCCTCGCTGCAGGTCTCCTCCCACAAGTGTAAGATCATGTACTACACAGAGGTGCTGGCGTCCCACGACTTCAGGTCAGTTTATTTATGTCACTGTGCTTTTTTTTCCTGTTTTCTTTCTATCATACTGAAGCTGTCTTTCACTCAGGCTGCATCAAAAATCAATGTTGTTATTTCTGGAAATGACACTTGTTATAAACTCATATGTCACCTGTTTGTTTATACAGTAATTAAGTGTGTGGAATCATGTCTCAACGCTTCTTTTGTTATTTCCAGGGGATCCATGACCAGTCTGGAGTCGAGTCATAGCGGTTTCTCCCAGCTCAGCGCTGCCACAACTTCATCTAGCCAATCAAACGCCAGCTCGTCCGTCTCAAGGTAGCATCTGCCCAGCAGGTGTCAAAGACAGCAGTGCCCTTAAATCTATTGACACCGTACTCCGACTGTGCCTTATGCCTCCACACACAGACAGCCTCACACTCTTAAATGAGAATTTGATCGGACAGTTAAAGGTGAGGAGAGTGCCATTGAAATGTTTTAATAAATAAATGTTTTCATCATCATTATTATTATTATAGTAGGGTCAGTAAAGGTTCATGGATCTCTGTTTCTAGGGAATAATGTATTTAAAGTATCAGTTCCCTGAGTTGTTTGTTTGTTATTTTTGTTTGAATAATAGTAGTGTATATTATCACAAATTCAATGCACAGTGTGAATGTCCCATATCTGATTTGTAGTCACAGTATATGTGTGTCCATAACATCTGCTGTGCATCTGCTGGATCAGGAAATGCATAATGAGATGCCTGACAGACTGCACTGACATCTTGTGGACAATGAGAGCAGCTTCAGGGACAGAAGCCGTGTGCATTGAGATCAGCCACAACATTAAAGCCACTGACAGGTGAAGTGAATAACATTGATCATGTCATTAAAATGCAGTGTTCTGCTGGGGAAACCTCGGGTCCTGGCGTTTATGTGGGTGCCACTTGACATGCATCACCCACCCACGTACACCCAGCACTCCCTGATGGCAGTGGCCCCCGCAGCAGAGCAATGCACCATGCCACACCTTAAGAATTCATAGGAAACGACCCAAGGAATGTGACAAAGAGCTCAAGGTGTCGACCTGGCCTTCAAATTCCCCAGATCCCAGTCTGATCAAGCATCCGTAGGACATGCTGGTACCTCACCTTTGCACAGGACTCAAGGGATTCAGCGCACCAAAGAACGCCCCAGAGGTTCTTTGTCCATGCCTTGACAGAGCCAAGTTCGATAAAAGAAGGCCCAACTTCGAATCGGACTTGGTTCTTTGGCACCGGATGCTCGATCAACTTGGGATCAGGGGAATTTAGAGGCCAGGTCGATAGCTTGAGCTCTCTGTCACAATCTTTGGGTCGCTCCTGAGCAGTTTTTGCGGTGTAGCATGGTGTATTGTCCTGCTGGGGGAGCCACCGCCATCGTGAAGTGTCGTTGCCATGAGGGGTGTACTTTGTCTGCGATGGTGTGCCAGGTCCCAAGGTTTCCTGGTACAGACATGGCCAAAGTCAGGCGTGGGGGCGAATCGTGGCCCAGTACACAAGTAAGATCACTCTACATTTCCTCCGTTTACCTCACAACGGCAGAACTATCATACAGTTTGCAGACATGCACCAAGTAGGAACTACGCAGGTGGAACTAATGTGTTTTCTTTACATAAACAGACGGTTAACAAGCAAACAAACTGTTACTTAAAAGCAAGACATTTACTGCGAGGTAGCAGACATGAAAGTTAATTACTTTTTCACTAGAAGATGAAACAGTTCCCCACGTCTCATTTGTATGGGATTTTTTTTAATAACCCACACGATGGGAGACGCAGCTGGCCCCCAGGTATTTTCACATTATCTAATCTGGCCCCTACTCAAAAAAGTTTGGACACCTCTGCGGTAGAATATTGCACTGTAACAAGATGATCAATGTTATTCACTTCACCTATCAGTGGTTTTAATGCTGTGGCTGATGTGTGTATCTGTAAAATGCACACAGCTTCTGTCTCTGAAGTTGCTTTCATCGTCCACAAGATGTCAGTGCATTCTGTGATTTAACCGCTCTCAGATCTGCAGTGCACTCGGCGCATAGGTTTCCACTCTCACACTTTGTCTGGTCTTCTAAGAAATCGAAACAAGAATTGTTTAAATAAAGATTTTATCACAAGCATTAACGTTGATGTTACTCCGAAGTGTGTGTGTGTCTTTATATTGAATTTTAGGAAACAATGACTGCAGTAACAGAGCTGCAGTGGGGTAGTAATTCTGTGTAATCGTAAAGATGGCTTATGAATCATTTTTACAGCAATAGGTGAGATGTTAAAAGCGAGCAGATAATGTGAAATCTCTTTTAAAATATGCAGTGCATCATCTAGATTGCGTGTAATGTTGTTTTTGGGCTTGTTAGGTGTAGCTGCTGAGTTTTCTGAGGCTGCTCATTTGAATGCAATATTGTGCAGCCCCTTGTGATCTGGCACGGGGCCAAGCAGACAACTGATTTACATAAAACTTTAATTTCCATAAACTTATCAGATGCTTCCAGCTAAAGCTTAATTGAATTTCCCGGTATTTTTATTTCTTTTTTTTCTTCCTTCGTTTGTAAGCTTGTGTCATGTTGTTGTTTATCCCAACACAATTCTTGTCACAAGTCATGTGGATTGAGTTTTCTGAGGGGCTGATTGAGCAGAAGCCTGACTTCCTGCTGGCATGTCAGGGTTGTTAGAAATTGGAAGTGTACTGACTTTGCCAGAAGCTTATTTACTGAATTACTCAGCTTGCTCTAATGACCTCCCAAGACACACATTGTCCACATAAATAGCAGCACCTCTTTCTCCTGATACACCTGATTTGCTATTAAAACCTCCTCTTCCTGAGCATTTATGTGATTTAAGACTGAATTATTTTACTGGCGTTCACAGGGGTGAAAAACAGCGTCTATTATACAGGTAACACCAGAGTTTGGTGAGTCAATCGAATTCTCCTAAATAATGTATCACATTTTATTGGATGCAACCTTGTGAGGGAGAGGTGGTAGCTAGCTGACCTACAGTCACCGAGTGTTGAGGTGATTTATGGGTACATTATGATTTATGAATAACATCTAACGGAAAATAATTTATCAGAGATCTAATGGTCAGAGGATGAAGTTCAGAAACTGTAACAGAATCGATATAAAAACACAAAACAGTCAACAAATTGGGGCTTTGCAGGAAGTTTGTAGTTTTAAAAGTCTGCAAATTTTAGGACAATCTATTCAATTGTCGAGACATTTCACTCAAAGCCGTAAATGTCCCTGTCATGGTGGCACTAGAGGCAAAGTTAGAAGAAGTTGCATGGATGTCCAGTGAGAATGTTTTACACTCTTTTCCTAAAACCAGATGGGAAAATGTTTGGACAAACTCAAAAGTTTGCCTCCACGGTGGACACGTACTGGCACAATTAACCATCTGACAAAAGTCATAGCTACCAATACCCAAAGATACCAGCAACTTTATATGGCTGTGCATCAATCATGGAATAGGAGGTCATCTTTGTAGTTTTTGTGGATGTATTTTGCCTCCTTTCTTTGACAAATAAAGTGGATCAAGGACCTGGTTGTTCAGAAGAAATTGGATTTTTGCTGTCGAATTGGATCAAATCTTGAAAATTGGCTGTTTGAAGAAAAAAAAAGATTCTGAAATTGGATTATATCATGTAATTTGGTCTTGTTTTTGATCTGGATTAAACCTTTAGTATGTGTTATTCAAAACTTTTTAGAAGGATTGGGATACCTTTAATCCCAAAAATCAGGATTACCCTGATCCCGACGGAAGGCTGGATTCAGGGAGGATTTTGGGAACATTCATTCATTCATTTTCCATAACCGCTTATCCTGTTGGGGGTTGAAGGGGGGCTGAAGCCTATCCCAGCTGACATTGGGTGAGAGGCAGTGTACACCCTGGACAGGTCACCAGACTATCACAAGGCTGACACATAGAGACAGACACGTTCACACCTACGGACAATTTAGAGTCACCAGTTAACCTGCATGTCTTTGGACTGTGGGAGGAAGCTGGAGTACCTGGAGAAAACCGACACTGACACTGGGAGAACATGCAAACTCCAGGAACCCTCTTGCTGTGAGGCAACATTGATAAAGGAGACATTAGGCTTCCTATGACAGAAAAGAATCTAGTCCATCTTACTTCTGTGCTGGTTTTTAAAGCAACACTTGATTGGATCACCCGGATCCAGATGCAGACTTTCACAGATTACAAAATCCAGATAACGAGTGCTCTTAATGGTCTGGACCTCCAAGTCAAAGGCCAGGGTTCTTTGCCGGAAAACGATGGATTGCCCCCTCCAGGTTGGAAGAGAGTTACTTTCCCAAACAAAGGAGTTCAAGTATCTTGGGATCTTGCTCATTAGTGAGGATAAAATGGAGCGTGAGATGGATAGGCAGTTTGGTGTGGCGTCTGCAGTGATGAGGGCGCTGTGCCGGACTGTTGTATGAAGGGGGAGCTGAGCCAGTTGGCAAAGATCGACCTATGATTGAGAGCTCTGGGTAGTGACTGAAAGAATGAGATCATGGATACAAGCGACCAAAATGAGTTTCCACCGGAGGGTAGCTGGACTCAGCCTTAGAGATAGGGTAAGGAGCTCAGAGTAGAGCTGGTGCCCCTTTACGTTGAAAGGAGTCAGTTGAGGTGGTTCAGGCATCTGATCAGGATGCCTCCTGGGCGCCTTCTGTTAGATTGGTCCCAGGCATGTCCAACTGGTAGGAGGCCTTAGGTTGACCTTGATCATGCTGGAGGGATTATATATCTCATCTGGCTTGGTAACGCCTTGGGGTCCCTCAGAAAGACCTTGAAAGTATTGCTGGGGAGAGGGACATCTGGAGTAATCTGCAGAACTCACCCTGCTGCCCCGAGACCCAGCCCTAGATAAGAGGATGAAAATGGATGGATTGATGGATGGATTTAACAGGATAACAGATGCCAAGGAAATTATAATTCAGTCTGCATATTCAACAAATAAAATGTTTTGTTCAATTTTGTTCCTGAAATCCACCCTGAATCCTCCTTTCTACTGGGATCAGGACAACCTTGACATTTTGACTCACAGCTATCCCAATTTTACCAACAATTTTTGAACAACACATACCGAAGGTTTGATCCAGATCATATCCAAGACCAGAAGGTGATCTAATCTGATTTAAGAATTCTTGTCTTTCTTATGAACCTGAGATTTGGTCCATTCTGATTACCTCTGAACAACCTGGGATTTGGTCCGCAGTTTAATGAGTTATGCTTGAATTTCAGGATTCCATTTTGTAGTTAATCGTGAATAATACTGCTGTCCAGGAGAGTTATTCATACAGAAATCTCCCAGCAGAGAAGCAACATTCTGACATCTCATCACTGTTATCCTTTGGCTGCCCTGAGTACAGATATTATAACAACAAGATTATGTGGAATTTGTCTCCGAAAGATGGGCCTGAAGAAGCTGCTCTCTTTCTCTAACCTGCCTCATAAGCTGCTGGCTGATCGCTGATATGCGAGTCTGGAGAAGCAGCCAATTTAAGATTCTGAATAATACTGCAACCAGGAACACTAGATCTCTTAATTCGTCAGTGAGCAATGCAGGCGATAGGAGGAGGGCTGCATCAATAATGTGCTGCTGAAATAGACCTCCTGTTACAGATATAAACACCCCCAGCCTTCATTGGGAATATGTACATGGTAATGAATCATCTTCTCTCAGAAACACCAGAGGCAGGCAGGGGGATACTCAGCATGGGGCTGATTTTGGGTGTTGTATTTTTGTGTATTTACATCTCATAAATGGCAAAAGGTAGACAGGTTGTACTTGCAGAATAATGACTTGTGCACCATTTCCCCATGGTAACATAGCCTCTCACAGATGCCAAGGTTGAATAATAATCCTGAGACACATTGGGCTTTCAAGTAACTCCAGTGTAAACTCATCTGTGGCTGTATTTGACACAAACTTAGGTCTCTAGTTTGTGGTTATTAAGTTTTATGTGATTATCCTAGAGGTCATAATAGGCAGAGGTGTGGACTGAGGTCACATGACTCAAACTCAAGTCACAAATTCGATGATTTTAGACTCGACTTGACAAAAGAGCGTTAGTTGGAAAAAATTTTTTGTTTGCATACAAAAACGGTGGTCAACAAATTTCTGTATGCAAAATGTGTGAGTCTAAATTTCAGATGGAGACGCAACAATTTCCAACTTTGTTTTATATCTGTAGTTGCTTGAAGAACGTTAAGCTGAGGTTACCTGGTTACCTGTCTCACCACATAAAGCTTGTTGCAGGAAATCTGGGTGTCATGTTCCATAGTAATTTATGTTTTGAACAATATATCAATAAGCTTGTCCAATCATGTTTTTATCACCTCAGAAACATTGCTAAAATAAGATCTATTTTAACTTTGAAAGATACAGAAACCCTTGTACATGCTTGTCTCTCTACACATCTTGATTATTGCAACAGCCTTTATTCCTGTCTCAATCAAAAAGCCTTGCAACGACTACAGATTGCTCTGAAATCAGCCGCAAGGCTTGTAACCAAAACCAAGAAGAAGCACGACCACATTTTTTACATTGGCTCCCTGTTTGTTTTAGGATTGACTTTAAAATCTTATTGATTAGTTTTAAGGCTCTCCATGGCTCCAGATTACATTTCACACCTTTTGCAACCAGGGCCCCAAAGCGCTGGAGTGACCTGCCCGAGGATATAAGGCTGTCTGAGACATTGGCTTTATTTAAGTCTCCTAAAAAAGTATTTCTATTGGAAAGCATATCCTGATTTTATCTGAGCTGTCAGTCTATTTTATTGCTGTTTAATTGATGTTATTCCTCATTTATTATCTTGATTTTAGTTTTGGCCTTCCTTATTTTATCTCTTACTAGATGACATTTTATGACATGTTATTTGTTTTATTCTACTTGTGTTTAGCTTTATTGTACAGCACTTTGTAACTGTGTTTCAGATTTCTTTTAACAAAGAAATACAAAGCAATTAAAAAGCAATCATGATTTATGTAAATTTAATATATTATTGTTCTGTTGTTGAAATGACATTACATTTGGTGAAGAGTGCAGTATGACTTTACTGGAAAACCCAGAGTTTAGGAACTCTATATGGATCCTGTGTAACTCACCAGAAACCTCTATCCAAGGCATACCC